ATCTCCTCAGGAAGTTAATATTCATGAGTGGAGAAATCACTCCTCATTTCCTTTACCATCCTTTGTTGGAGTGAGCCAGAGCTCCAAACACGGTCACTTGTTCCGCTGACCACTGCCAGACCGTGAAGCAGGCCACAGACAGAGGGAGGAAAGTCTTCAGCTGAATGACAGGAATTAGCTGTAACACACTGAAAATAAGACAGCCCAAGGACACGAGTCTCTTTGATCAGGAACAAAGAAGTCTGTCTCTAACAGCAGGTCTCCTTGTTGGAGACACCATTATCAGGACAGAGGTAGAGCCATCAGGGCCAGGTGTGTGTCTCTGTCCTTCTCTGTCCTGTGTCCTCAGCCACCCAGTGCCTCGGAGGCTACAGGTTGCCTGTAACCCCTCTGATACACGTGCCTTCTGATGGGGAACCCTGGAGTATAGCCCTCTCCAGCTGGAATCTGCCAACATGAGAAGTCACCATTGCTTCCTGTTCCTTCGCTGCTGAAGCCAAAGGAATTCTACTGAGATCAAAATTTCTACAATACTCTCTCTCTCTCAGTAACTCCTTTGATTATAAAGGAGGCTTTGTTACTGCTGCCAAATTCGTTAAAGTGTATTATGTTAGGCATCTGTGGACCATAATTCGTATTTAGCATCTATATCTTCAGAGACAATGATTTCTGTAAAGGAGACTAGTAGGGAAAAACAAAACCCAGAATTCATGTGGCGAGCTATTTAGTGTAAATCAACTTAGGGAAAAGTTATACAAAGAAATAAAGGTGACTCCCGGCTTAAACAAACAAACCCCCCCTTTTTTTTTAAAGGGAGAAGAAAAGCAGAACAAAGTTGTAAAAGGCTGCTGAGAAGCGGCCGTATGTGGGAACTCTCATCTAGCTGGCATGGGTTTCAAACCCACCAGCATATAGCTGTTTGTTAGGGGATCAGAAACTGAAAGTCATTGAGAGACTTGAAAAAAAAATTAATGCCCTTTATTTTTAGAGTAGTTTTACATTTACAGAAAATCGAGCAGATTAGATAGAGAGTTCCCATGTACCTCCTCTCCTGTTCGCAGTTTCCCCCATTATCTTGCGTTAGTGCAGTACATTTGTTACAAAGAGTAAACAAAAAAATGGATGTGTTATTAAGGAAATTACATAATTTGCATTAGGGTTCATTCCCTGTGTTATACATACGATGTGTTTTGAGAAATGCACAGTGCGACGTATTCACCGTTACAGGTCGTACAGAATAGCTCCACTGCCCTAAAAATTGGTTCCCCTCCCGGGGCAGAGTTGGCTTCTGTCCGTCCTTCGGTTCCCGCACAGGCATCGTTCCTCAGGGAGCCCCTGGCTTACACGCCGCCCTCCACTCCCCACACCTGGTCAGGCCTCTGATCTGTCGTCTTTGCTGCTTCCCGGTGCATTGCCTTCCGCGCGCTGATGACAGTTTGCTGTGTACAGTTGTGTAACTCGTCTCCGACGTTAGCTTAGGGGTTCACGAATGGGTAATTGGCTGCATGAAGATCAGACCGACTGCACATCTCACTCCTCAGTCCCATGGCTGCTCCTCAGGCATGTCGCCCACGTCACCAGTGACTCACTGAGCCCAGCAGGGTTTATAGTCCCCCCTTTTAAAAAATCTGCCCATTTAGGTTCTATATCCTGACTCCCCTCTGGTGTAAAATAGTGAGAAAATGAGGGCCACTGCACTTTTTCTACCATTTTCCTTACCTGTACCTTCTGACAGTTATAGCATTACTTTTGTACTGAAATATATAGAAATGTTCTACAACTATAATATGGTTTATATGGTTTTGCTCTAAATTACACTAAAAGAAAACACCAAAGATATAATGATTCAAGAACAAGATTAGTTTTTATTTCACTCCTGAGTTTTTTCCATGGCTGTATCTCGTTATTTCTTGAGTTACTGCTTAGAATTATTAGACTATTTTCTCTATATGTTTTTTCTTCAGAAGAGTCTAAGAATTTCTGTCTTGTATTGCTTAATATCTTAAAAAACTTCCTTGTTATTTTATGTTTGTGAGATTTCAGTGTCGAGTCAATTACCCTTGTCAGTTCATGGCACATTATCACCCCTGGTCCAAGCGAGAATCCTTGTTTATACATATGTAATCCTTGTTGATATATATATAAATGTTTAAATTTAACTAATATGTAAATTGATGTTAATTAATACAGTAATTTTTAAATACTTGTATTTTTAATTTTGTAGTTAGAGAAAGTATCTTACTGTGTTTACATTTATTTTAATCGACATAGATGGGGTTCTGTAATTTACCATGATTCTATTTCCTACTATGCATTATGCTTTTACAATGCACTGGGTTTTCAGTCCACCCACATTTCTCTGTGTGCATCTAATCTGTTCCTTGGTGTATACCTGGATGCATTGCCTGTCTTTTCTTCCAAAGATGAACACCAAGTTCAAATGTATTTTATATTTTCTTTAAAAAATTTTTTATTTTTTGTGTGTATTTAAGCCCTTCGAATTGAATGTATGCCCTCTGATTGAATGTTCAAATAGAAATATATGTATATGAATTGCATAGGCAGTAAGTGTCTGAATGAACTTGTGTTAAATACAAGGACTCATATGTAACCTGGAGAATTGTTTTCCTAAAAAAAGCAATCTTTTGACAAAAGACAAAGCCTACTCATATGTTGAGGCCTGTATACAGTAGAATAAGTTCTCAGAAACTTACAACATACAGTATAAAAAGCATAGTTACAATAAAAGTGAAACAACGGTACAAGGAGACGTGGTAATACGTCATATAGTAAGTATAGTTTAAAAAGATACTATATTACAGAAAATCTTTTGGCACTTATTCCTTCAGAGTTACTTGAATTATGAAAGGTACCTTTTTTATTCTGTTATTCAATGCATGCATGCCTTGACATTTTCCCTTAAGGATTTGAGGTATCTTTCTACAAAGATTGTATACCCTAAGGATAATGAATAGGGTTGGAATGGAAAACCATTACTTTGTGGAAGAGGAGTTCCCAAGTATTTTATTTAAAAGCAAGCATTATGGCCTTGATTGAGGATTTTAACGTTAACCCTCCTGTAAATTGAAAAGTTGAAAATAAGGTAAATTATATCAGAATAGAAGAAGCATTCCCATTTCTCAGGGCAGATCCTCTGTCTCATGGTAGAGGTACTTCTCTCACTGAGCATCCCCCAGAGTGGCCATGGGTATAGGAAATGTGTTAACCACTAGCAGGATTGACACTGAATGCTGAAGGTTAAAGCCCTGTCCTCAAATAAAAAGGAGAGATTTTACTTAGGAAACAATGCTGTATTTACATTCAAGCAAGTGTTGGATGAAGACCCTAGAACTCCATATCATTTAGGGCTACACCTTTAGCAGGTGGAGTCAGTTTAGTCTTTGGAATTGGCAGGTCTAAGCAGGAATCCTGATTCTGCCCCTTGTTATCTGTGTGCTCCTGGACACATTTAATCTTACAAAACTTCAGTTTTCTGTTATGTAAAAGTAACAATTAACAATTAAAAAACAAAAAGACAGCCTACGGACTGGAAGAAAATAATTGCAACAATTGCTACCAACAAGGGACTAATTTCTAAAGTATACAAACAGCTCCTGCAACTTAATACAAAAAAAAACCAAGCCACACAAAAAATGGACAGAAGACTTAAATAAACATTCCTCTGAAGAAGACATACAGATGGCCAACAGGCATATGCAAAGATGTTCAACATCACTAATTTTTAGAGAAATACAAATGAAAACTACAATGAGGTATCACCTCACACCAGTCAGAATGGCCATCATTAGTAAGTGTACAAATAATAAATGCTGGAGAAGGTGTGAAGGAAAAGAAACCCTCCTGCACTCTTGGTGGGAATGTAAATTGGTGCAG